CTCGGTCTGAAGGCCTTACAGATCTTACACTTATCTGTCTGATGGGACTCCCCTAGGCACTTCAGACACGAGTCGTGCGGGTCACTTGTTGGCATAGGCTTAGCGCAGGACGCGCACTGCTTGAAGCCGGGAGCCTTGGGCATGAGCCCGGCCACGCGCCGGGGGAAAAAGGGGGAGACAACCCCCTTAATCCCCTTTAACTATACAACAACTATTAACAAAGTGAATTAAACAACTATCTAACTATATACAACTAGAACTATAACTATAACTATCAATAAACGGAATAAGCTAGGGAGAGTGGAGAACAGCTACGCCGTGCTCCACAGTTCCAACGACCGTCAGGGGCGGTAAGAAGGAACTGAGGGGGCGCCGGGTCGGCTGGGGTATATATTCAGCGCCATGGAGGCGCCACTCTAGGGGGCTCCACAGCCGACCCGCCGGTGTTGCTGGGGTAGAAAATTCTCCGACGATCGTGCACGCGGCGCGCGCACACCTAATTGGAATCGATATGAGCAAGCACTCGAAGAAGAACTAACTACTATGAATAAGCGATTGCTGTTCATTAATCTAATTTGTTAGCAGAGCTGAGCAATAATGGAAAAAAATATTTCTTTGAATCTGAAAGTGAATTTTGATTTGAGCAAGTCTGCAACATTTTTGTGGTCTCTTTCCTGAAGCATTTCAGTGCTGAAATGAATGTTACTAGTGACGATACCATTGAAAACGAAATTTTAGATTGAATACTTCATATTGACCAAAAGGGAATTTCTAATTGCATAGCTGATTATAAAAATTACAGTTCACCCTGTGTTGATTAGTTACATAAATCAAGTGATTTTTTTTCTGCTCCCTAACTGGCTGACTTCTGTAATTAATCACGGTCCCAATCATACAATCAGATATGCACAGGCAGACCCACATGACTATAAAGCATCACATTAGAGTCAATGGATGTCTGCACAGGCGCAAGAGACCACATGTGTGGACCTTAGCTCAGCATTGGGGCGCAAAACACCATTTACTGTGAACTGCAAATATTACAGTTGAAGATACAATGAGAAGTCTGCTCTGTATCTGTTAGATATGTTCTTTATAGTGCACAGTATATATTTGATTCTAGTACTCACCACTCAAACAATCTGCAGGCCACAAACTATTTGCTAAAATAATTAATGAATAATATTGAACGATGAATAAATTAGAGAATTTCATGATGTTTGTGGACAATGCACAAAACAAAAAAATAAAAAAGGCAAAATTAGTCAAATAAAAGTATTCGTTGTGAATTATTCACTCATTCTAATAGTCAGTAATTTTAAGTAGTGTTTTCTCCTTGCTCAAAATAAAACCTTTACTAGGATAAATCTGTTTATTTCAGTATTTGAATAGTTAAACCAGACAATCACTGAGTCACAGCTAACTTGTTAATGTTGCTTCGTGAATGTAATGCACGATGCCCCCAGTAAATGTAGTCGGGTTGATTTTCTCCAATGCAATGTATTAATTTGGATTTTACATACTGTGCTGAATTACTGATTTACTCATTTGATTTCTTGCTATCTGATTGAAAGTAATAAAAATAGAATCTAGTTTGCCATATAACAGAGTCCAAAGTCCTGTGTCTTAAATTATTTGCGCAAATGATTAATTAATGGCATCTTTACTTCAGGAGAATTGGCCTTCTGAAAAATCTTTCAAAAGTTTAATAAAAACTTTCATGTTACTTTTAACTCCATAAAATTTAATAAAGCAAAAAACACATAACAGGAAAAAGACACCAATTACAGCTGGATCACATTGCACTTATTTGTTAAGACATAAAAGTTAACATCATAGATTCAATAACACAAAATATTATATATTTGCAAAAGGGCCAATGTACCTTTGCATTTTGTACTCTTGTAAAGTTTTCAATTTTAACTAAGTTCCCACATCAGCATAAATTCAGCCAATGAGGTACTACCAAATGTAGGGCCCGACAGTCCCACCCTTACTTAAGCAGAATAGCCCCTTACTCGGTGACCTCCACAGAACTACTCATGAAGTAAAACACTATTCAACGTGAGCAGAATGAAGATATTGTTGGATAATATGTTCCCATTTCACAGTCCTGGACACATTTTATCAATAGACAATATTAAAAAGAATACAAAACTTGTTGACATTGTCTACCTGAAGGGCCAAAAAGATTTACATTTACTTACTTTACATAGGGCTTTGGATCAGGTTGCATATGTCTAAGTTACTCAGAATGGTTAAAAGAACTTCGAGTCACAGCCAGAGAAAGAGAATTACATAAACTGGTTCAATATCAACACATTTGATATCTAAGACTGAACTCATGAGGCTTGATTCCAGATCATAGCCTATTAAATAGTCATAATTTCATATTTACTTAACAATTTCTTACAAACATACAACCACTTCCTTCCACTTTTTCTTATTTCTTCTCCTCTCTACATTTGTTTTCCTACCACCATCCTCTTGCTAAACATACATAATCCACTATAGAATCAACTGTTTAAATTAGCAGGCAAAGTAGATCACCATTTAATATATAGAGTGTTTTTCCTATATGTATATTAATTATCTTGTTATATATATTCTTCAATTCAGATAAAATCTCAATTAAAAAAGTCTGTCATATAAACTTGTTTAAAAGTTTATCTGTCAAAGATTCTTTTAACGACTTAATATTTTGCATTTAATCACTAAATTTTTGTGTAATCAATGGTTACTGCTAATTTAAATCATGGTGACAGTTAAGGCCAGGATTTTCAAAGACCTCTTAATTCCCTTAGTGTCAAATCACACTGAAATACCCAGTTCCCACTGAATTGAACTTCCTTAGGTTAATTTAAAAATTCTAACTTCAGACACTGTGAAGGAGAGGTCCTCAGAAACATCAATCCAGTACATGATTATGTTTGAGGTGGGGAAGTTTACACAATAGTCTGTATCACAGTGTAAAAAAAGTCACGTTTGCAAATTAACCTAATGTACAAAACTGTTACTTTCCTATTGCCCTTGATATTTCATGAATAACATTTGAAGACTAACAACTAAAATACAAAGTTTGCTTACTTTAAGTAGGTGCTCTGTTGCTTCATTGTATTTCTGATGAAGAAGACTCTGCAATTCCAGAATTGACTCCTGGTACTGAATGATGACCTTTTCCATTAGCTCATTTGGCGGTGTGTCCAATAACAGAAAATTCAACTTCTCAATTAACTAAAAGACATTAAACTTTCCAAATTAGTTTTACAATCAAATCATAGCAGTTTAATTTCCTTTTTTCGGGGAGTAGGGTAGGAGAATGATTTCTGTTCTTTTGATTTCAGATATCATATATAAGGTATCCTGTGCTCTGTTAAAATATGAGCTGAACTTGCTTCTTTTGCATATACACAAATACTGGTTACAGGAATTCTCTCTCTATTATACATCTAAAAAGGACATTATTAAGGTTTCAAAATTAGGAAATGCCAGAATTAAGGCATTTGCTTGTGCAACCTTAATTTAGCCCCTTTATACACACATATTATGATACAGTCTTTAATTATGTCATCACATACTAGTATTTTCACAGGATCCCTCCCACATTCAGTGCAGGACTGACTTATTGAGCAAGAAAAATTGCAGGGCACAGAAACTCTGCTTGAGACAGAGTTATATTTCTGTTTCTTTGACCTGTTTGTTCCAGGTTTTTGTAAAAAAATATTTATTATTTTCTAAACTCATCACAGCTATGACAGGGACAACCAGTAGGATCTGAAACAAGTGCTACACAGCTAATAAGAGATTTCCTGTTGGCTCATAACGTAGTGCTGTCTACAGACAACAAAGTTCCTGACCTGAGTCTCAGCAATTCCAGACATCATTTTATATGTGTGGATGCTGGCAGGACAACTCCACTAACTGATTAAGTCTACTGGAGTGACTAGTCATGAATATAAGCAATATCTTTCTCTAGAAGTTCTATAATTCTATTTTGGAGATCTATGTTTTGAACCCGAACCAAGACTCTTACACCTCAGACCAGAGGAGATTCAAAGTAAAATGTATTTGCTTAGTTTCCTGGAAATAGAATACTGGGATATACTCCTTCCCTGTTTTCACATCAGAGGTCCCATCATAACAAAAACAGATTTTTATATTGATGATGTCAGTGCTGATTTTGTAAATTATGCTATTTTTGTAAATGAAAATTTTGAATTTGTGTGAGTATGATGCCATGCAACTCCAGCCATCAGAAGAACATTGACAGTTATAAGGCTTCTTCACATGAATTTTCCTTATTCTTGTAGACTGAATGTGCTTTATTGATTGCCATTTGCTTATAATCAAATCTATTTTGTCACCTGAACTATAATGAGCACCTACAGATGTCCATTATAATCTGAATTCTCCCCTAATTTAAACTGTCATATCTCAAGAATGATTTATCCATTTCCCCTCTAGACTATTCAAAAGAAAATTCTCCTCTCACAGAAGAACACATATGAGAAATTTCAAGCATACTGTGTTTTGACAAAGTCTGTGGGTGGGGAGGGGGTTGGTCAAAATCAGGATTTTAATGGAAAGCTATGCTTATAGCCTAAATTCTGGAGAAAGTTCTCTTCCGCTAATAATAATCTCAAATTTGAATTTCAAAAATGTAATAGGAACAAATATGTCAACAAAATTTTAATCTACAGGATAAACCAAAATTGGAGGTTTGGATAAATGCTCCAATTACACAGTTGCTTGCAATAAGATGATGATATTTAGCACATCTAACAAACTAGCACTAATCCATCCTGATGTCTACAATGCTTGCCTGAGATTAAATGTCAAATGTTTATTAGATATTGCCGTATTAGCAAAGTCATCCATTAACATTGTATTTGTTAGTGTGATGTTTACTGTAAACTAATTTAAATCTATTTGATATGATATTTCATATTCTTCTCTCCTTCTCTGTAAATTACACTCATTAGTGTCAACAGAAATTACATGCACACAGGGAGAGAAGCATTTAGATCCCTTTGTTTGTACTATTATGATCATCTACATCAATCAGTTATTCATTCATTCAACAGAAATCTATTTAACCACAGTAATTTAAGATTACCAGAAGATGTCATTAACTGCAGTAGAGGCAACAGACCACACTTACTATTGCTGTATATTCAAACTTCTAGTATCAGTGCCTCAGAAACCAATCCTGAAATGCAACAGGCTACCTAAAAGATGCATTGCTGAAGGAAGTTGGAGGCCAGGAATCAAAATAGAAGTAAAAAAGTGGTGAGCTCAAGTCCACCCATTTCAAACTACATTCATAATGCCAAAGTAGCTGAATGATCCTGCTAAAATGATCAGCAGTAAATGGTGAAATGTTAGCATTCAGAGTACCACCATGTCTTCAGTGTGAACTGGTCATTGATATAAATACAGAAGTTCTTGCTTCTTTTAGAACAATCGTTTCAGGAAGTCTATCTGTATATGCAGTATGATAACACCATATTGGCTCCACTTTCTGGAAGGTTTTCTTTGCTACCACAGGGCTAGAAAATTTGTAATTTTTTAAATGAAAGCTTAAACTCTCTAGAAAATGAAGGGGCCATTGTAGAACTTTTGGTATGGCATATAGTCCTATACCAGCTCATTGTCTGGCTATACCAAAAGAATGACAGGAGACATTAGATATGGATTTAATCAGGCCGCAACTTTATTATTAGATAGATGTCTAGGACTAACTCAGTGGATAAAATGTGAAGTGCAGGTGAAAAATGTATGTCCCTCCAGCAGATCCACGGCCGGGCTCCTCCAATTTCAGCCATTTTTTTTTTTTTGCAGCGGGGCTCCCACCAGCTCCCCCGCTTTTCATCCAGGTCCCTGCAGCAATTCCCTTGCCGGCCCTTACCAATTCCAGAGTGAATGAGGGGAGGGGCCAGGCCCAGGCTGACCTTTTTAAACCCCTCATTCCTAGGTGGTGAGTCATCCCACCACGCTGACTGCTCTTCCAGCAGTTTTACGTCTCCCGTCCTCCCCCAAGCCAGAAAGCATTGCCCTCTTCTCCTGGCCAGCCAGACAAACCCGCCCCCCCTTGCTTAAAGTGCAGGGCGGTGAATCTGACCACACTACAAGTCAAATACTGTGAGTGGATATAATGAAGGTCTAGATCAGGGATGGGCAAACTTTTTGGCCCGAGGGCCACATCTGGGTGGGGAAATTGCATGCAGGGCCATGAATGTAGGGTTCGGACAGGGGGTTGGGGTGTGGGATGGAGTGTGGGGTGTGGGAGAGGGTGTGGTGTGCAGGAAGAGGCTCAGGGCAAGGGGTTGGGCCGGAGGAGGTGTGCGGAGTGTATGAGGGGGCTCGGGGCATGGGTTGGGGTGCAGGAGGGGGTGCGGAGTGCGGGAACGGGCTCAGGGCAGTGGTGCAGGCAGGGGTGCACAGTGTGGGAGGGGGCTCAGGGCAAGGGGTTGGGGTGCAGGAGGGGGTGGGAGTACGGCAGAGGGCTCAGGGCAGGGGGTTGGGGTGTAGGAGGGGGTACGGAGCCATGGGGGTGCCAATCCCGTGGGCCAGATCCAAAGCCCTGACAGGCCGGATCCAGCCCGTGGGCCGTAGTTTGCCCATACTTGATCTAGATGATCACATGCTTCTGAGTATAAGCAGTTTGTTCCAAAGGTTAAGAAGGAATTTGAATTGCTCATACCATGTAAAACAATGCTAGATTGACTAGATGAATGGTAGGAATGGAGGCTCCTTTACATTGAAGCTTCTACAGATGGCATGAGCAGCAATGTTCAGATCTGGAGCTTGATGACACTTTTGTCAATTTGGGAGGGTGTTTGGATCCAGAATTTTGATTGGATCCATCTCTACAAGCATTACATATATGAACTCCTGAAAGGCAGGATGCTAGAGTTTTTGGACCAATGGTCTTATGTTCCTTGTTTCCTAATAAAAAAATTATAATGATGGAAAGTAAAGACAGCATATCAGAGGAAGACCAACACACAAAAATTGCTGATGATTCAGGTGATGACCAATTATAGGCAAACAACCAAACAAAGGAGCATACAGGACCATTTTGAGGTTTGTAAGCTACTAGTAACCAAGAACCGTAAAAATATCATTTTAACACTTACATTTAGCACTTGGTTTCCTTTCTTGATCACAAACTCAATATCCTCATTTTTATTTTCTTGCCACAAGCTCATGAAAGTGTTAATTTCTTGGGGCACAGCTGGGTCAGGACTCCCATCACATTGCATGTAATGCTCCCACTAAAGAGATTTTTTTAAAAGAAAAGTAAATCCAAAAGTTTTAGGTACAAACACCTAAAAACTTCATCATTACAATATAAGAGTAGGAGGGTTTTGAGAGAGACGTGTGTGCGGTCTAGTGAAAAACACACAACTAAGGATATGTCTACACTTGTAGCTGAAAGAGGGATACTTGTGCTCGTTCTCATAGAGCTAGTGCACAAAAGTTGTAGCATATCTGCAGTAGCAGCAAGAAAAGCTAATCACCCTGAATACAAACCCATCCTGACCACATGGTTACACACTTGGGCAGCTAGCCCAATATTCTGGACATGCTACTGCAGCTACACTACTATTTTCAGCACACTACCTCAACAACAGCTAGTGCAAGTATGTCTCCTTGAGCTGGAAATGACACCCCCAATCCCAAGTGTAGACAGAGCCTGAGTCCTAAACCTGGTTTCATCCATCACTCACTGTGTGGCTTTCAGTCTTGGTTCACTCTGTGACCTCAACATCTCTATCTCAGTTTCCCCATCTGTAAAATAAGGATCATAATAAAACCTGTCTCATTATCTAATTAACCCTCACAACACACAGTATTTGTTAAGTACTTTAAAGACTTATAATGGAGTTTTTAAAAGCACTAAGCATGGCTATACTCCCACTGAAGTCAATGGTCAAATTCCCGCTGACTTTAGAGGGAGCAAAAATAAGTCAATGCGGAGCACTGTTGAAAATCCCATCTGTAAATTTAATAAGTGTTAAATATTAACAACAGCATCCAATCACAAAATAATTCCACTATTTTTACAATTTTGAATAAATGTGCTTGATCATAAAGCGTGAGGATTGAGACCACTAAATAGAGCCGGGTATTACAGAGGAGCCAGTTCTGGCTCCATAGATATGCTTGAGCTTTGCTCTTACAGCAGAGATTCAAACTTTTTATTATAACAAAGAGAGTATATGCTCTCCAAAATTAAAACACTTTTTCTTTGTGTATTGAATGAATTTTCTGAGAATGTATAAGTAAATCCATTAATTTGTTTACAAGTTAAAATTAATTGAAAATGGGACCTTTCAGAAATTTAGCACTTAGCATTAGATTTTTCTTTGGTCTGAATATTCTTCATAACAGAATAAAGCAAACTCTTCACACTTCCTATAAAGTTAAAACTCACTGAAACTGTGGGCATAGGTGACATTTGAATAGGTTTTTAAAGATTAATGGTCACATTTTATCATCATTTTTCATAATTGAAAGTTACTCCTTCAGCACAGGCTGAAGAATAATCTTAGGAGAATTCCATAAAGAATTGCCCTCTTTCAAAATGACTGGTAACTCCTATTGTTCTCAGGCGTACTAAAGCAACGGGTTTCCTTCAGTAAAAAAGCTATTTTGTTAAAGAAAAAACACCACCACCAAAGATGGCAAGACACAGAAATGCACAGTTAGCACACACAAACAACCTTAACTCTATCCTATAGTGGCGTCAGAAAGGGGATGGGAGGTGGAAGGAAAAATCTAATGCATCTTTAAAATTCAGTTTAACCTAATTTGGAAACATAAATATGCAAACAACTTAACAATAATCATCTGGGCATTGCATGATGTCATATAGGATGGAACTGTGGATTCTTTAACTTTGTATTTCAATCCCTTAACACATTAGACTTAAATAGAAACATTAACTCTGAATTTCCTGGTTATAGAATGCTTATCTGAGGGATATTTCCAACATCTTTGTAATGTAATTTACCCTAAATTATTGATATATACTCTCAGCCTAAACTGCATTTAATGTAGTTTTTATCTGACAGTAGTATATAACTCAGGTGCTATGCTGTTTTCCACCTATAATTTTGCCAATATACCTCAAAATCCTGACTTCCGTCATCCCTGACTCGCCTGAGCAGATATTACCCACTGTTCAAACTCCTTAGAAGTTTTTTTGATTAATGTACTGTTTTTCGTTTAAAATAGAATGAACAAAGCACTAAAAAATAAAGGAATGATCTTGTAATAGAAGAGAGAAGCACAAGATCATTTAAAAGTCTCTTCTTTGTCAAACCTCTATAATACTATGTGGATATTTTGGAAAGCAAGCTTACCTTAGCATGTGCTCTATAATCTGCTTTCCATTGCCTTGCTGACAAAAAGTTCTCTTCTAATGAATGGAGTTCTGCAAGTTCAGTCCCTCTCCGCTCTTGATCCTGTCAGTATAAGATCAGGTACATGAATTTACTACTCAGTTTAATTTTAGTTTTTATAAATTATTTTATAGCAAAGAAAACCCAATTTATTTAGGTATTTTAATGGACAGCTTATTAATATTAAAAATAACCCAAATATTGATAATATAATTGTGACATTGCACTCCATATGATGTTATGAAAATAAGCTAATGAGTGTGAATATAATGTAACTGGAATATGCTTCATACAAAAGGTCTTTTGTAAGGTATCATTATAAATCTTATAATCTACTGAGTGTGTTCATTGACTATAAAATATAACTCTGAGGTCCTATTGTGGTTATGCAAAGTATGGGCCATTAATGGTGGTTTAGAATCTTGATGGCTCCCATCAACTAGGACAATTGACTTAGATGGCTCTGTTTACTTGTAAGCCTCCCTGTGAGTCAGGCCGGGAAGAATGAAGGCTTGGGGTCTCACAGGACATGTGACCATGTCACCTGGTACTGGAATCCATCTTAAACCTGGTGCTTTTCCATTCAGAAGGCGGGGTGGGGACCCAAAGAGACAAAATATTCCTGCCTTGTGCCAAAGGTATATAAGGAGGTGGAAGAGAACAAAGGGGGCTGCAGTCATGAGAAATCCCCTAGCTACCACCTGAGCTGGAACAAGGACTGTACCAGGAGAAAGGATTGGGCCCAGACTAGAAAGGAGTTAGTCTGTGAAAGAAGCTTATTGGAACATCTCTGAGAGTGAGGTTTCATCTGTAATCAGTTTCTTATTGTATTAGGCTTAGACTTGCGTGTTTTTGTTTTATTTTGCTTGGTAATTTACGTTGTTCTGTCTGTTATTACTTGGAATTACTTAAATCCTACTTTTTATATTTAATAAAATCACTTTTTCTTATTATTGAACCCAGAGTTAGTGACTAATTCCTGGCAGAGCAAACAGCTGTGCATATCTCTCTATCAGTGTTATAGAGGGAGGACAATTTATGAGTTTACCATGTATAAGCTTTATACAGAGTAAAATGGATTTATTTGGGGTTTAGATCCCATTGGGAACTGGGTGACTGGGTGCTAGAGACAGGGGCACTTCTTAAGCTGTTTTCAGTTAAGTCTGCAGCTTTTCAGGGCCGTGGTTCAGACCTGGGTCTGTGTTTGCAGCAGGCTAGCGTGTCTGGCTCAACAAGACAGGGTACTGGAGTTCCAAGCTGGCAGGGAAAACAGGCTCAGAGGTAGTCTTAGAACATCAGGTGGCAGTCCCAAGGGGGTCTCTATGACCCAACCCATCACAATAATATCTTGAATTTTTATGGCACATTACATCCAGGAGATTGCAGTAAATTAGCAATGTTTTATCATAGAGAATCTCTATGTGCTGGTGATGTAATAAATTGCTGAGCCACATAATAAATTACTCCAACCCTTGAGCACAGCCCCATCTGGTTTCCCTGCACAGGCTCTGTCTGTCTGCACAGGCTTTGCTGAAGAGGCTCTGTCTAGCAAGGGATCCGTACTCCTGGGGTGTAGCCTCCCCATTCACAGAGTCTCTGCCAACATCCCCAGTTGCAAGAAATACCCCTGGTGAATGTAGGTGAATACTGATTATTAATTATTATTATTATTATTAATATCAGGAGGAGACATGGGGTGGGGTGCTAAGAAAATAGTCCCTTAATTTTTAAATACAATGTTGGCAACCCTAGTAGAAGAGTGTGTGGCATATCCATCAGCTTTAAAGAGATATTTGATTATCACTGGATCCAAGAGCACCCCTCCACTCCTGCTTTCCAATGGAACACACTGCAGTTGCCTCTGGTAGGTTCCAAGATATCAAACCTTAAAACTGTGACATTTTAGTGTATGGAAATTTGTTTGGGGCAATTTTTAGAAGTTTTTAAAATGTACTGGTTCGTCGCTTTTTTTCCCCTCAGAGCCCTAGCTAATTGGGTTCACAACAATGAAGGCAATCTAGCTTTACAGATGATGGGGTATGAAAAAAAAGACCAATTAAAATTGTTAAACTTGCTAAAACATTTCTTAAAAAAATTCTGATAAATGTGCTATACACAGAATACATAGTAGTGTGTTTTTATTGGCACCAGTTTGGGTTGGCTTACTTAATTCACCTACAGTTTCACAAATCAGAGCAAGTCATCCCGAATTCCTGCCAGTAAAACTTTACACTACAACATCACATACATGCATACACATCAATACAACAATTTTACACCTGCACTAAAATGCAGCCATTTCTAGAATGAAATATCACAATTCGTAACAGCCCAACGCAATACTACATACAGTTTAGGAACAAAAAGGAATATGTCTAATAGAATATACATGTGGAATTGTAGAAAAACAAGAACCGTTCACTCAGATTGGAATTTGGACAGGACAGAGGTTACATCTCTACTCATACAAAGAGTACCATGAGGATTTTAATTATCAGAAGTAGGCAAGACTGAGCTTTAACATCTTCTTTTACCTCATAAGCACTTCTTTATATCATACCGTGTGACTACTGGCTTAGAGGACACAG